ATATATATATATATATATATATATATAATAAAGTAGTTAGATTATTTGTCTTAAACTTTTTCGCGATTCAAATCGTTTAAGGAGATTATTGATTCGACGGTCTTACTGCAAATTCCCCCCGGCAATTTTTTTGAACAAGACTTTCATTCTTTTCCACAATTCTAAGACTCCTATATCTCTTATATATATATATATACACACACACACACATATACATACATACATATATAGAAAAATAGTAACATTTAATCACACAAAAAATACCATTCAAACACAAAAAATAGTACCACTTAAATAAAAAAAAAAGTAATAACATTTAAACACAAAAAAATAATAATATTAAAAAAAATAACATNCGCCAATTTTTTTGAACAAGACTTTCATTCTTTCCCATAATTCTAAGACTCCTATATCTCTCATATATATATATACACACACACACACATATACATACATACATATATAGAAAAATAGTAACATTTAAACACANTTTACTGCAAATTCCCCCCGCCAATTTTTTTGAACAGGACTTTCATTCTTTCCCACAATTCTAAGACTCCTATATCTCTTATATATATATACACACACACACACACATATACATACATACATATATAGAAAAATAGTAACAATTAAACACACAAAAAATACCATTCAAACACAAAAAAATAGTACCACTTAAATAAAAAAAAGTAATAACATTTAAACACAAAAAAATAATAATATTAAAAAAAATAACATTGAGTATTAATATTTGAAAACATGAACAGTAACATGACAAATAAAAACTGTAACATGTTTTACAAAAACAATAACATAGTATATATATATATATATATATANAAAATAACAGTAGTAAAATGCTCAACATGAACAGTAACATGACAAATAAAAACTGTAACATGTTTTACAAAAACAATAACNCACAAAAAATACCATTCAAACACAAAAAATAGTACCACTTAAATAAAAAAAAGTAATAACATTTAAACACAAAAAAATAATAATATTAAAAAAAATAACATTGAGTATTAATATTTGAAAACATGAACAGTAACATGACAAATAAAAACTGTAACATGTTTTACAAAAACAATAACATAGTATATATATATATATATATATATATATATAGAGAGAGAGAGAGAGAGAGTATCAGTTGTTCTTTGAATTTAAATTTTAAATTTATGTAAAAAAATTTATTGGCATAACTTCATTGATAGTGAATTAAGGGATAATAATTCCCAAGTTAGAAAACTAATTTAAAGTGGCTTTCAAGAAAGGGTAGTTTGGAGTTTTTAAAAAAATTATGGACTTAACTAATTATTAGTAACATTAAAAACAGATTTATCTCCAAATAAATTTTCTTGACGAATTAAACTCATTATAAGTTCTCTAAGGAGGACTCAACCCCAATTTTCACAATACATATAGATATAGAGAGAGAGTAGTGCGATCATAGAAGCTCTGCACTATAGCCTTAGGTGGATACTTTTTATATGAACCGTTGAATCTTGATTTGACGTCCCTTAATGAAGTAAGGTATAAATTAATTTCAAAACCTACCAAGTTGGGTTGTGAACTAAAAAGGAGAGTTCAACAACCTATTAATTATGATTCTAGTAGTGTATGGAAACTATATTTGCAATTGTAATCAAACTAAATCTTTAAAAATTATAAAAAGAAAAATATTGCTGGCAATGTCAAGATATGGACGTTGAAGAAGAAGAGGAGGAAACAAATAAATCAAAAAGCTTTGAATTCCTACAACTTCAGCTTTGGTTACCCGAGGGCACCTTCAAAATAATTGCAGGTGCCTACTTTTTTATAGTTTGGCCACCATAAAAGACATCAGAGACTCAAAAAACTATAGGCATGAACCTCATAGACATGACTTGATATAGCAATGAAATTTCGCTTTGACGAAAAAAGTAATTTCTCTTGGACATCAAAGTAGAATTTGACTGACATTTAATTAAACTTCTAGGGATATAATTCAATGCAATCACAATATCCACATCCTAGTTGTTTGCAGATGTAAACAATTTCAATGATTACAAATATATTTTTCTTAGTGAGGCAAGCTTCTCAACGCTGTCATTACGAACTCATATGTATGTTCCTAGAATAATTATGTGTCCAATAATTAGGCAAGGATGAGGTGATGGCTTTGTCAAGAGACATCAATTGAATATAAGCCTAAATGCAGTTTCCATTTATCGTTGAAATAATAATTGATAGATTGTTGAAATTTTCTATTTTCATTCATATCCCAAATTGGTAGGTTTTTTTGACTTCTTTCATTAGGGAATGTCGAATCCTAATCTAATGGTCCTTATAAAAAATATCCACCTAATGCTATGGTGCAAAGCTTAAAATCTGCACCATAGCATTAGGTATATATATGCAACCATGGGATATTAATGGTTGTTGTTAATTTGCTTCTTCATTTCTTCTTCATCGCACTCATCTCAACTGAAGCTCAATCTCATCTCCGTGATCCCCATTGACCATAACCATGAATGATGCAACAATTTTGTCTAGTGTCTTATGATGAAGAGAGTCGGAGGAATAGCAGTTTTTGCAAACCTCAGCTATGATGTTGATTCGGGTTGATTTATTTGAGAGATATAACAACTGTTCCATTGGCTACCAGAATATT